CACCTCATGGGCAACCAAGCGGCGGGTCCCCCCCAGCCAGCCTGTGCCCTGAAGCAGGGTCCAGGGCCTCGGCAGGCCCCCCGTCCAGATGCTGGCAACACCCAGAGCGCCCAGCTGGGCTCCACAGCACCTGCTCCCCAGGGAGCTGAGTCCATCCACGCTGTGGGCACACCAGTTAGTGCCTGCACCGGAGGGTTCTATCTGGTGGCGGACGCCTGGAGCCCAGCCCTGCCCCGTGCCTGGCCCTCACACCCAGGACTTGGCCCCCACTGTCTCCCACCCCACATGCCAGCCTCCTCCTGTGGGCACTGAGGTCCTCTGAGAGCACCACGCATGGGCCTGGAGAGGTGCTGCCCGCTCGGTGCAGGAGGGAGCCAGGCATTGGCCACACGCTGCTCTGAACCCACGCAGGCTGCCGAGGCCATGTCCTTCCCCAACCAGAGGTAGCCAAGCAGGGCCCTCGGCTCTGCTCCACGTGTCCCCCCGGGAGGCTGAGGGTGGCACGGAGAATAGCGCCCTTCTGTGGCGGGCTTGGACCGGCTCAGGCTGTGACCTCTGCCACAAACAGGGGTTGAGACGGGCCGTGCCAGAGGTAATTACGCACGCCCTGTAGAAGGGTCACCGCTGTCTCCCAGGTTTCCCAAACATGGTGATGAGGGGCTCACTGAGATGCCCTCGGGCAGGCCCGTGAGTCGGAGCAGAAGGCAATGCGGTGCTCCCGCCACACCAGGCAGAGGTGCTGTTCGCGAAGACCTGGGACGGCGCCTCCACGCTCTGCGAAACTGTGCTCCCCTAGGCTCGAGGGCGGGGCCTCGACACAGACCCCGTCTGGCTTCGCATGGGTCCCCTCGTGGGCTGCGACGAGGGGCACTGCCCGCTGTACAAACTTGTGGCTCGGAGGCTGTTGGTTACACTGCGTTACTATGTCAGGGATGGCCCACATGCTGTGAGTGCGGCCTGGGGGCCAGGCGGTGCCCCCCAGCTTTGTGCCCCAGGGCTCCATGGTGGGCACCGCTGCCCTGGGGTTCTCGCCTCCCCTCCTGCTCAGAAGTCATGCTCTCCAGCTTCTGGGTGTGGGTGGGCACACTCATGTTCTGGAGCCAGGGTGCAGGGGGAGGGACGGAGGGGTGAGCACCACAGCCACCAGAGTCCTGGCCAGAACAAGCAGCAAATGGCGCAACACCTGCTCGCCCACCCCACGCACACCTGCCAGCCTCACGCGGAGGGTTTTGGCCGCCGGACAGTCGAGACTGCCCACCCTTCCGAAAGAAGGTGACAGATGTCAGCCTCGATTGGCCCTGTCCCCTCCCACAGACAGACTCAGGACCTGGAGAGTGGGGGTAAATGAAGGGTGCATGATTAGACTCGAGCCCAGGCTGGGTTCTGGTGGGTGCCAGAGACAGCTGCAGCCGCATGTCAGGGACAATGGCCCTGATGCAGTGCGGGCTGCCAGGCTGGGTGCCCGGGGACAGCTGGACGAGGTGCTGACAAGGACTCATTCCTCTGTGGGGCCGTTCTGCAGCTGCTGGGAGTGCAGCCAGTCGGGGCTGCTCCGGAGGAGGCTGCGCTGGCCAGCGGGCAGGGCCCACCAGGGGCGGGCTCGTCTCCACGGACACCATCCCAGCCTGGCCCTGGTGCCTCTCTCCAGGGACCCCCCCGCCCGCCCCTTTCTCCTGCAGCTCTGGCCTGGGGCAGCCCAGCCTTCCCCATGTCAGCCCGACTTCTCTGCGGGCAGCGTCTGCGCGGGCACCTCCCTGCTCTTGCTGGTGAGAGGTGGTGTGGGCAGGGCCTGGCATGGCCAGCAGTGCCAGCCAGGCTGTGGGTGATGAAGGGCCCCGGGACCTCACCAGCCCGGCCGTGCCCTGCTGCACCATGGAGCTGTGTGGGTCCAGGGGAGCCTTTGATTTCTGGGTGGTCTTCATGGGAAAGGCTTAGTCAGGTCCACTGAGGCAGTTCCACAAAAAGGGC